AAAGTCTCAGCTCTGCGACCAGTCAGAGCCATCGATCATCGAGATACGTTCATTTCACCCAGCTCCATAGACCGCTGCGCGTACACCTCACCAACATCCAAATCAATGTGCACAACTCTTCAAATAATATATTGAAGAATCATCGTAGTTTGAGAAATGAATTCCTCAAGAAAAAGAAATTCAATAAACAACAAACCAATGAGACAGGGCTCAGCGCTAACTGGGAGGGGGCACGCGGCTCGCGATGACTCATCTGCTCTTCTGCTCCCTCCTCGGCAAAATAGAAGTAATTTCGTGTTTAGGACATGAATATAACTTCGCCCTAGCTATATTCAAAAGTTAAAACAGTTAACACTGAAAAGTGCAAAGAAACAGTTTTAGGCTGCAAGGTTCTTGCCTAAACTACAAAATTTTGTTGCATGTTTGTCGTTGACTGTTATTGTTGACTACAAAAAATCAAATTTTTAGCTTCTGTGGAATTCTTCAGCAAGTTCCCGGTGAATCTTGTTTGTTTTATTCTGATTTGGCTGCTAGATTCGCGTTTCAAGTATGCCGATGAGTCATCACTCGCCGCGAGGCCCCTCCCAAATACGTTAGCACCCAGGGCTCCAATAAAATATAAGAATTAACATACCTAAACCACGGGCAGCAACATCCGTGGCAAGCATTATAGGTGTTTTACCGGCCTTGAACTCTGAAAATAGATGTTTTACGAACTGCCATGGACTTCCCTTCGACTACTCCCGCGCAGCTATAATTTTCGTTCAATGCCTAAGACAACTTCCGCACACAACTTGTTATTTTGATAGGAGGCCCCGCTGTGCACAGCGTTAACCGTCGCAGTCGCTTAATATTGATCGGCAGACGCTGCAGCCATTTACTGGCGATGTGCAGACGCCTCGCACTGAGGCTCATCTCGGAGATTTCAACTGTGTCACTGCTGGGTTCCATTAATCAAAAAACCATGAAGCTTATACAGTCTTATTCGCCATGAGGTGTAAAGAGGGATAGGTCTGGCGCTGTGCCAAAACCTTTTTTCGCCAGTTTTAAAGCAAGCAAGCAAGCAACAATCCATGCCATATAGTGATACCAGTTGTTGTCCACCAGCTGTTGCCGCTTACCTGCTTCAACAACTGCTACGGAACGAGTTGACAGCGCGGCAAGACCAGCCTCACTGACATGCCGCATCATCCGCAGCACACTGCAGTTTAAGATCCGCCTAGGACTAAGCCCGTGGCTATTGATCTCAGGTTCTTATACGTTCCTTAGGTTCATGTACAGGAGAAAGATCCATGTTGACTCAATGACATTCGCTTGCTGACGCCGTAACTCAGAGGAGCTGCAAGTGAGATTGAGTGAGGTCGGCAGCATTGCCGTCTTTAGCAAAACTAAGCCGCGCTCGTACAATATCGCCGCTGTTCGGCTTGAGAGGTGAGGCATTCTACACCTTCATTAGTTCCTGTAGACTTACACATCTCGCCTGGTGAGCCCTATGAGCTATTGAATGTAAATTAACCCAGCCTTATTGCATAGCCTTCACAAGAATTACCAGTTCTCCACCGGAGACCCTGCCACTGATTGATCCAGCAAAATGCCCTCCCCCCACTTCACTTCGAAGCCGTGCTGCACCTACGACTTTGGACGAACCGCGGAAAAAGAGTGTAGCCGTGTAATTGCACACCGCAAGCGATTACCGTAACCCCAAAACTGTTTGCATTCGCCCATGGAGTGCAAATGAGGTGCTATAGGTTGGTCACTACGTAGGCAAATAATGACCAACATAGTGTACCTTAAATATTAAATGGATCCTACGCTATAATCGCTTCCAAGAAACCACTTCATGCTTCTTCCCTTTGTAGAAAACGGCGAAGTTTTGCGGTTTTCACTCGGCAGCTACGCACTAATGAAGAGTATTGTTTTTAACAAGTTGTCTGATCAGCCGTTTCACTGACATCGTAGGGTATCCTACTTGTCTTTCACCACCTGTATCGTTGCGCATTGTTTGTTCTTGGAGGGTTATACATGACTTTCATTGCAATCCATTTTGTATATTGAACTGAAGAAGGCATTTGAATTTTCCTCCGCTACTATGAGGTATCAGCGGCTGGAACAGACCTATCAGTCTACGGGGCCTTCCTCATCTTGCGAGGTCTCGATTTCCTCTGTGGTTCTCAGTTTGGATGCGATTTTTCCCTTTTGTAATGCGGGGTCTGATTCATGGCCAAACGTTCTTTCCACGCGGCTAAATCTCTGTCCCAGTGAAGAGAAAGATCACTACCGCAGACACCCATTCAGGGTGCTGCTTTGCTTCTCGCTCGGAAAGGAAGCCACCAACCTTTCGTTTCGAGCGAAAGGCAGCGTCAGCGGCTAGGGATCAAGATCTCAATGTAGCGAACGCCCGCGTCCACCGCCGTCTAGTCTAGGAGTCATGAATAGGGATATTGGAGACATAATGAAAATGCGTCGTGTGCGACCGCACCGTACAACTGCCAAAGCTTAGAATTAAGCTGGCTTGATGTAAGGTGTAGGGCAGCTTTGAGGTGCCGTAGCACGCACCGCAATATCGGATGCCCAACCAGCTGTGCTAACCTCCTGCCATAATCCCCACTCTTGGACCCTCTTGCGCGCTGGAGTTCGCTACTTCAAAGATAGCTAGTGTTCGCTGGCCACGTTGATGGAGCTAAGGTGAAGTGCCCCCTGGTGATTGGAATGAATGTGATTTCATGTTGACGAAGTCGAACTACGCCTGGAGACCTACTTTACACAAATCGAAGACGGAACTCCAACTTCGAAAACTGGGCAGTAAAGGATAAATTGTCCCAAAAATTGCAGAGTGACGAGAAGCATTGGTCATTTTTCGATCTACTCCCGAAATCCTGTACATCTTCAAACTGAATGCGATTAATTCCTTTCATCAATACTACAATTCTTTTTTCTTCAATTCGTCAATTCTTCTGATAAGAGACGGGAAGAGCCGTACCAGTTACCAAAGTAGAAGTAGTACGGAATGTTTAACTACGGAATGTTTCCTTGAAAGCTATCTTGATAAAGAACCCCTTAATACACGTAATGACCAACCTATCGCACCACAGTTGCACTCCATGGGCGAATGCAAACAGATTTGGGGTTACGGTAATCGCCTGATGTGTGCAATTACACGGCTACCCTTCGTGTATTTACGTAACATCGGACGAACCGCGGAAAAAGTGTAGCCGTATCGATTTGGAGAACAGGACGAACTGATGAATATTCATTCCATTCCCCTGATGTTCCACGAGCTCTTCCAAGATTGTTACAGCTAAGTGATGCTGGCCAATACAACACGGTTGAACGGGAGCCACGGCGATGGGCGGTCTGTTGCATCTCAATGATGGAAATCCTGAGCTTTCGCAAGAACACGCGGAAGGGCTATTCCTGGCTGCGACGCAACTCACGTACCTCCACACGCCCCATCATTTACTGTGATTATGACTACCTGTAGGCAACCATGGCAGCGACACTTTCCTAGCCGCACGCAGCCACGTGAAGGAGAGGACGATTTGTTGAGGAGATAAAGTATCGACGGACTCACCACTCAAGACCCAATCACGTTCCCCTTGGTTTTTGTCTCCAATGGAATGCAAACGTGTGGGCCAACGCATCTCGACGCATCCCCGAGTCAAATCATCGTGCGCTTGTACCGATCTTTGTTTCCACGAATATAAATGGTTTTACATTCAGGCTGAAACAAACTACATAGCAACTATACATTTTGCAAATACGACATTTTCACAAACCTGATTCATTATATCATTGAGGAGTTTGCATCATTCTAGCTTGTTTTGCATGTTCTTCTAATACATCTACAAATTGGGTGATGTTATGATTTGCAGCCAGTTCCATGGAACCGACATTGAGGAATGCTGCGCGTCTGTTCTGTGGAAGTCCGATGCAAGGGCACGCACTTCCTTTGGCCATGTAGCTGAGAACATGAGAGTTTGACGATCAGGCTGAAACATTTCGTATGAATTTCGAAGGATTTCAACAGGCTTTTGCAAAACATCGGAGCGGCGCTGTTCGGCAACGGGGGAGGGGATTTCTGCTCTTTCGCTGCTTCACTAGTTTCGGTTCACAAGTCTCATTCTGATGAAACCTATAACGCTTGTGAAGCTGCAGAATTGGTGAAGGCTGCCTTCATACTTTGCGTCAGCGTCTAACAGCACCTAGTAAGGTATAAATATCGACCCACTAGGCAGCGTCCACCAGCGTCTCGAGGAACGAGGGAAATACAGCTATCAATCTAGCTAATGTCAGCGTCCACCAACGTTTGTCAGCGCACAGTAGCGTCCAGTGAAGGACCACGTCGTACAACTACACTACACGGTAAATAAAGATTGTACTATTCTGCTTTAGCACTTCCCTAGTCCCCCAAGACGCTGGCGTTCGACCCATATCTATGCTTTCTGCTGACGCTAAGTATGAACGTAGCCTGAATGATTTTGTATTGTATTTCATTGCTTCATAAAAACTGACAAGATGGTTTCTACAAACTTTACCTGGTACCATTTTGCAGCTTCATGAGATTCCACGGGTCTCACCTGAGGGTTCAACACGTTCATGGGAAGTAGCAAAAGTGCAAAATACCCAATCCCCCCCCCCCCCTCCTGCGTCGCCGAACTGCGTCTGGGTCAGCCATCGTAGCAACTCACCCTAATTTGTCCTATTATCTTCCGAATTTGGGGTTCGAAACCCATATCAAGCATCCTATCAGCTTCGTCAAGAACCAAATAAGAGCACCGCTTCATATTTGTGGTGTTATTATCCAGAAAATCTAACAATCTTCCTGGGGTGGCGACTGCTACATCAACACCACGTTCAAGATCACGAGCTTGGGGTGCCTTAGAAGCACCACCAAACAGACACGTCATTTTCAATCCAAGGGCGGTGCAGAAGTCAACCGAAACCTGAAAACTCGTCCATTCCTCTGAGAAATATAGAAACTCATTGAATATAATGCTACCTCTTGCACTTGCTGGGCGAGCTCTCTAGTTGGCAATAACACAAGTACCGATGGTCCCTCATTACGACCTCGTGGTGCCTGTTTGGTAGTGTGGATGAGTCCAGGCAACATGAACTAAAGAACAATTTCTTCTTTCGCCGAATATGCTCACACTGGAGATGATGAGGAATCTCACCGCTAATGTTTTCCCGGAACCAGTTTTGGCGATGGAAATTATGTCACGACCACTCATTGCAATTGGCCACGATATTGATTGGATGACGGTTGGTTTTTGGAATTTGGCGTACAACAGGTCGACAAGCTCGTTAGGAAATGAAGCTTCGCTAAATTCCCATACGGGCCGCGGAATTGAACGTCCATCGACGGTGACTTGGTTTTCAGTAATCCACTGATCGATTTCATACTAAAAATAAATTTTTAAGGTCCACGCTTTTCAAACACGTTTTCTTGTACCCAGTAACCAACAGCACGCTACGTGCCTCTAGGGGACCCAGACTGCATTTTCAGCGCCATGGTAGCTTGTAAATTTTGGAAGTTCGCTTTCTCATTAAAAACTGCAGATTTGTATAACAGCTACACATTGCCGGAGATTTTCAAGCTACTCCTTCCCAGGGCCCAGCTACGCGATTACTTTAACTTTTCTGTGTGGTCCTCTTGAAAAACCATAGAGCACAACCGAAAGGGGTTAGCGGTCGCAACAGTGCAGAAAGAAAAAAAGGTGCAGGAACCGATCAAATGCAGTCATAAAGGTCATAGAAAAGTCCCCAGTCCATGAATTAGTGTCACAGCAACCCGAGTTCTCACCGGAGCGAGAACATACTCAGCGGATAGTTTTTTACACTGCGCCTCCTATCCTATTTCCTAATCAAGACTTAGACTCAGTATAGACAAAATCTTCTCTGT